ACCAAGGAATGTACCGGCTCACGAAAGGCGACGACTACATTCTACTAATCGTCTACGTAGACGATCTACTCTACATCGGATCGACCGACAACGTTACTACCTGGTTCGAAGGGGAGCTACAAAAGGACCTCACGCTTACGGTATCTTCTACCGTCACGCAGTACCTCGGTCTCAACATCCAAGAAGAAGAAGGCGCGATCTACCTCAACGCCGCAAAGTATGCCGACACCATCACCAAACGTTTCGCACTCACGCCGACTACCATCTCTACGCCATACCGCTACACGGCAGGAAATGACAAGGCAGAATCTGCTCCACTGAAACCCGCCGGCATACGCAACTACCAGAGAAAGCTGGGATGCCTTCTCTTTGCAGCTGTCACCTGCCGCCCGGACCTATCATACTCCGCAAGTCAACTCGCTACCTACCTCAAACGACCTGAAGCTGAACACATGGCGGAACTAAACCGCGCCCTTCACTACCTCGTTAGTACTCCGACGATCGGACTAATCTACTACAAGAACATAACCACAACGCCCAAGCTAATCGGCTACGTCGACGCCGACCACGCCGGAGATCCTGACAACAGGCGCTCGCGCACAGGCTACATCTACCGTCTTGAGCCTATCGGACCTATTTCGTGGCAGTCAAGCAAACAGGAATTAATCGCCCTCTCCTCAGCTGAAGCTGAATATATCGCACTTTGCTCAGCCACCAAGGAAGGACTCTACCTTCGCGAACTTCTGGAGGAAGCAAAGCTGGCCCAGTTACCCAGCTTCTCCCTATTCTGCGACAACCAGTCGGCAATTCGCATAGCCAACAAAAATGGATTCGCGAACAGGACGAAGCATATCGCCCTGCGATATTTCTTCGTAAAGGACGAGATCGAGAAGGGAAGACTTGAGCTGTCTTACTGCCCCACATCCGAGATGGCAGCTGATTACTTGACCAAGAAGCTCGGAAAGTCGAAGTTCGAATATTGCATGCTGCTGACTGGACAGAGCCACGTCACCAGCGGCGACACTCCAGAAGCGAAGGGGAGTGTTGGAAACAACTGATCTAAGCGCGTCTGTCGTGTCGAAACACCAAGACAGAAGCGAAGCAGATCGTATCGAAACATCGGTGAGTCAACCCTCGGAGGTTGAACAACTGTTGGAGGTTACGCGAAAGCCAAAGGTCAGCGACCTTTGACCTGACAAATGCAGCGCGACAGCAAGGACAAACAACTGTCTCGATACTGAGCAGTTGCCCGAGTCGACACTGTATCGAACCGCAACAGCAACAGTAAAACAGTTATTAACCATATCTTTTCATATTCCCTGTATTCTTATAAAGGGCATGTATCTCTTTGTTATTATCAATCAACTTTGCCCTCACACACTAGCGCAAGGTGGTTCACAATCCTTTTAAACGCTTCCGCTACTACATCATCCTACCCTTGAATTCTGTCCTGCAAAGATCCTAAGGGCCTTCTCAGCCCAACAAAAACAACTATACACAGTTTACAACAGTGACATCTATTCATAATTCAGGTTGCTATGGTAGTACCCGGTTTGGCAGGTAAGAGCATCCGCTGCTCGAATAATCAACTGAAGGGCCAGCACAGTGAAGCTGCAATATCAACATATCATAAATTCTTACCAGCACCAACCGTCATCGGTAAGTGTCAGAATATTATATTGCTTACTTTGTGTAGGCTATAGTGGGGTAGCCCATAAGGGGTACAACCCAATTAGGGTTAGCACTTGTACCCAAGTTCAATGCATTCATTCTCGTTCGTTAGTTTGACATGGTATCAGAGCAGGTCCTTCGCTAGGACCGGTTTTTTAGGGCCCACCACAGAGCTGCCCCACTAGCTGCCCTACCCTGACAGCGCTCTGCCCCTGCTGCCCTCGTGCCGCCCCTGCAGCCCCGCGTGCCGCCCCTTGCGGCCCGCCCGTCGCTCCTAGGCCCAGCGCGCCACCCCTTGCGGCCCGCCCGTCGACCCTGCTGCCCCGCGCGCCGCCCCTTGCGGCCCGCCCGAAGCCCCTAGGCCCCGTGCGCCGCCCCTGCCGGCCCGCCCGTCGCCCCTAGGCCCCGCGCCCCGCCCCTGCTGCCCCCCTCGCAGCCCCTTTCGGCCCGCCCGTCGCCCCTAGGCCCCGCGAGCCGCCCGTGCTGCCCTGTTCGCCGCCCCTGCAGCCCGCGAACCGCCCTTGCAGCCCCGCGCGCCGCCCCTTGCGGCACTCTTGCCGCCCCTGCAACCCCGCGCGCCGCCTCTTGCGGCCCGCCCGCCGCCCCTGCTGCCCTACTCGCCGACCCTGCAGCCCCGCGCGCCGCCCCTTGCGGCCCGCCCTTTGCCCCTGCAGCCCACCCTTTGCCCCTGCAGCCCGCGAGCCGCCCCTGCAGCCCTGCGCGCCGCCCCTTGCGGCCTGCCCACCGCCCCTGCAGCCCCGCGCGCCGCCTTTAGGCCCGCCAGCCGCCCCTAGGCCAGAAAGCCGCCCCTCCTGCAGCCTGCGCACCGCCACTTGCAGCCCACTTGCCGCCCCTTGCTGCTGCCTGCCCTGTTCCTTGCACTGCCCGGCTCCTGCCCGTCCTGCATGCTGCGCTGCTATGGCTTCTCTCCGCATACTCGCGTTCGATCATGAGGGCCGTCCGATCCAGTTTGACACGTGGCTCGACGACTTGCAGCTGTACCTACTGAGCGACTCTAGAGACAGCGTATCGTTGTTTGACCACACGTCCGGAGCCTCTCCCGCCCCTCCCGCCACAGCTGACAGTGCGACTTGCTGACAGTGGCTTACTCGTGATGCTGCTGCTCGCTTAGCCATTCGCAACCACCTGCCGTTAGCTGAATGCGCTCACTTCAGACAGCACCAGACTGCACAGGCACTATACGACGTTGTAGTCGCTCGTTACTCCTCACCTGCCACTGCTGCTCTAGGCCGTCTTCTCCTGCCCTACCAGTTCCCGAGCTGTCCGCCTTTGCCACAGTAGAGGACCTCGTTTCCCACATTCGCACTAGCAACGCTCGCTACCGCGCTGCCCTCCCAGCAGAGTTCCCTGACAGGAACCCGCCCCCGATGTACATCACTCTCTACTTTATAGTCACCCGCCTCCCTGAGTCTCTTCGCGCTGTCAGGGACCACTTTCTCGCACTTGACCCCACAGCCCTCACAGTTGACCTGCTCGAGCAGCACCTCCTTGCAGCTAAGACTAGCGTAGGCGCTGTAGGTGCCACTCGTGGCACTCCTCGCACGCCCTTCTTTGAGGGGTGTTCCCCCTCTCCCATTGCCCCCTCCTACGCCTCTGCTGCTGCTGCTGGCGTCCTTGGTACTGAGGATGTCGGGGCTGCTTCTGCTAGTGGGAAGCGCCGCAGCAACAAGGGCAAGGGTGGCAGGGGTGGTGGCGGTGGCAGCGGGGGTGGTTGTGGAGGCAGTGGTGGAGGTGGTGGAGGCAGTGGAGGTAGTGGAGGTGGTGGGAGTGGTGGCAGGAGTGGGGGCTTTGGTGGCGGCGGTGGTGGCAGCGGTGGGGGTGGCGGTAGTGGCGGCAGTGGGAGTGGTGGCGGTAGGGATGGAGCTCCTCAGCGGGGAGGTTCTGGCGGTGGCCAGCGACAGCACCAGCAGCATCGGAGCGAGACCCCGTCGCCCCAGCAGCTTCGTGAGTGGTTTTCTCAGCGTGGGGCGTCTGGGGCGTCTGGGGGGCGTTTGAGCGTGGGGGTATGTCATTCGCACGGGTGACCGTGCTGGTCAGACATGCGGGAAGCCTTACACTCAGCACCGCTGCTTCTCCCGCATCGATGACGCTTGGTGCGTAGAGTTTGGTGACGAGGCCGAGCGCCCCCGTTGGGCAGAGCTGCTTAGGTCTGGAGTTGCTATCTTTGACCTAGACTATGATGCTATCCTTGCTGCTATGTATGCTTCGTCTGTTAGTGCTGAGGGTGACTATTACCTGTGTGTGCCGCCTGACCCAGGTATAGAGGCTGCTGCTCTAGGTGCTAGTGAGTCTGCTCTCCCTTGTACTACGCCTACTGAGGCCTTGCACACCTTTACACTTGACTCAGGTGCTTCACGCTGTTTCTTTCGCGACAGCGCCACCCTCTCTCCTCTCTCTGCACCTGTACCGGTCAGACTGGCTGACCCCTCCGGGGGCCCAGTCCTTGCCCGTTCCTCCACTGTTCTCCCGTGTCCGGCGGTTCCGTCCGGCTCACTGTCAGGTCTTCACCTCCCCTCGTTCTCTACGAACTTGGTGAGTACCGCTGCCCTCCAGGATGCGATGGTCACTACCACCACTCCTGGGGGTCAGCGTGTGTCGATCTGCACGTGTACACGGACGGGCCGTCACCTGGCCACGTTCACCCGTCGGCCTGGGTCGAGTCTGTACACACTGGCTACCAAGCCTCCTCAGGTAGCTGCGTCTACCCAGGTGTCCGCGTCAGGTACGGTAGCACCCCCTTGTTCGTGTCGCCTCTTGTCGCACCAGACTCTCCTATGGCACCAACGCCTTGGTCACCCCTCCCTGCCACGCCTTCGTGGGATGCACTCCCGCCTCCTTGTCTGTTGTCTTCCCAGGTCTCTGCCTCCTCTCCCGACCTCGCCTGCCCCGCCCTGCCTTCCTTGCGTCGAGGGACGGCAGCGCGCCGCTCCTCACTCCTCCTCGTTTCCCCCGACGACTTCTCCCCTGCAGACTCTCCACATGGACGTGTGGGGCCCAGCCCGCGTCAGTGGACACGGCAGCGAGCTCTACTTTCTGCTGGTTGTTGACAACTACACGCGCTACTCCCCTTGCGCAACAAGGGTGAGGTCCCTGATGTTTTGATCCCTTGGATCAGCGCAGTCCGTCTCCACCTCCGCAAACGGTTCCGCCAGGACCTTCCTGTCCTGCGTCTGCACTCTGACAGAGGTGGTGAGTTCTCCTCCGACCTCTTGCGGGACTTTTGTCGTGGGGAGGGCATTCTCCAGTCGTTCATGCTTCCGGCCTCCCCTCAGCAAAATGGGATTGCTGAGCGCCGCATTGGCTTAGTCATGGAGGTCGCTAGTACCTCCATGATCCATGTGGCTGCTCCCCAGTTTCTGTGGCCGTTTGCGGTTCGGTACGCTGCGCATCAGCTCAACCTCTGGCCTCGTGTCTCCTTGCCGGAGACCTCGCCGACACTGCGTTGGACGGGGGAGGTTGGAGATGCGTCGGTGTTCCGGGTCTGGGGCTCTCGTGCCTTTGTTCGCGATACGTCCGCGGACAAGCTCTCCGCCCGCGCTATTCCCTGCGTCTTCCTTGGCTTTCCCCCTGACGCGCCTGGCTGGCAGTTTTACCACCCCACCTCGCGCCGTGTCATCCCCTCTCAGGACGTCACGTTTGACGAGTCGATTCCCTTTTACCGTCTCTTCCCCTACCGCTCTGCCCCTCCCCCACCCCCGCCGCTCTTCCTTGCTCCAGGTCCCCCTCCGGTAGACCCCCTCCCCCCTCAGGGTCCTGCTCCCTCAGGTTTGTCTCAGGTAGACCCTCTCCCTGGTACTGTGCCTGTTGAGGTAGTTGTCGGCTCAGGTGCTGCTCGAGGTGTTGCGTCTGGGGGTGCTGTGTCTGGGGGTGCTGCGTCTGGTGGTGCAGAGCCTGGGGGTGCTGATTCTGAGGGTGCCAGGTCTGGGGGTGCTGAGCCTGAGGGTGCGGAGCCTGGGGGTGCTGAGCCTGCGGGTGTAAGGCCTGGGGGTGCTGAGCCTGAGGGTGTGGAGCCTGGGGGTGCTGAGTCTGAGGGTGCGGAGTCTGGGGGTGCTGAGCCTCGGGGTATTGCTTCTTCTGGCGGTCCTGCGGGTGCTTCGCCACGACTGTCTCCACGGCCGGAGCCTCTCTCCCGACAGCAGCTGCACGAGTGGTTTGCTCAGCGCACCCACCTTCAGAGTGGAGCTACCGGAGCTGGAGACTCTGCCGCTGGTGACACTGGAGCTAGAGGTGTTGGAGTTACTGCTAGAGCTGGTGGTACCGGAGGTGCTGCAGCTTCTGGTCCTGGGGGTGCTCGTAACAGGGGTACTGGAGCTGCCGGGACTGGTAGTGTTGGGGGCGCTGGAACTGGAGACCCTGCGGAGCCTGGAGGCGCTGGAGCTGGAGGCACTAGCGCTGGTGGTGCTGGAGCTGGAGGAGGTGGAGCTGGTGACGCTGGAGCTGTTGGCGCTGGAGCTGGAGGCACTGGCGCTGGTGGCGCTGGCGCTGGAGGAGCTGGAGTTGGAGACACTGGGGCTATTGACCCTGGAGCTGGAGGCACTGTGCGGCCGCGACCGTACTTCGTTTCCCTACTTCAGCAGGTTCTTGGTCTCCCGTCTTCTACTGGCGTTACTCCTCCCTTACTGTGTCCACCGCCTTACCAGTCACAGCCGCCGTTACAGCCAGCCTCCCCACTGCCTGCTCCTTCTCCTTACACTGGGTAGACTGGAGGTCTTACAGAGCATCGTGAGCCTGAGTCTCGTCTTGCCTCGCCTGTTCGCACTGTTCGCACTGGTCATGGGGTTCCTCATCCGCGTCCTCCTCCTGTCCCCGGCACACACGCTATGACACTTCGTCCTTCCTCTGTTCCACTGCGTGTTCCTCTGCCGCCTCCTCCTGAGTCCTCTCTTCCTGCCGTCCCTGAGCATGAGTCTGACCTCGCTCGTGCTGCCAGTCCCACTGTCTCTCGTCTCCTCGCCACTGTTGTCACTGACCCTTCTTTTGAGTCCACTGCTGCGTCTGCCCTCGTTGCTGAGCTAGTTGACTTTGCTGCTGCCTGACGTCTAGACTACGCCACTGCTCTTGTTGCTGAGTCTGAGTCTGCCAGTCCTTTATCCGTTGGGGGTGAGTGTGCTCTTAGCAGAGACGTCCTTGAGGACAGGCAAGAGGACCTTGAGTGTCTTGCAGTTGCTGTACCTGGTTTCGCTTCCATGCTGCTTGCCCCTGAGGGAGACCCGGATGCACCAGACATCCCGACCCCGCGCTCTTACGCAGAGGCGATTACGGGTCCTTACTCCTCTCAGTGGCAGGCAGCCATGGATGCCGAGATGGCATCGTGGAAGTCCACAGGCACCTACATCGACGCAGTTCCCCCGTCTAGGGCGAACATAGTCGATGGCATGGGTTCTCAGGGTTCGCAGGATTTTCAGGGTGAAGCGGCCGCCGGGTTCTCCGCCTGCCTTCAAGGCTCGTTACGTTGCTCGAGGCTTCAGTCAGCGACAGGGAGTTGACTTCTTCCATACCTTCTCCCCTACCCTTAAGATGACTACTCTTCGGGTACTGTTGCACGTCGCCGCTCAGCGTGACTACGAGCTTCACTCTCTTGACTTCAGTAGAACTTTCTTGTAGGGCAGCCTGCACGAGGAGATCTGGCTGCGCCGCCCACCTGGCTTCACTGGGTCGTTTCCTGCAGGTACCCAGTGGAGCCTCCGGCGGCCAGTCTACGGTCTCCGCCAGGCGCCTCGCGAGTGGCACGACACACTCAGGACTACACTTGCGGCTCTGGGGTTTACTCCTTCTACTGCTGACCCGTCGCTGTTTCTACGCACCGACACGTCGCTGCCGCCGTTCTACGTCCTCGTGTACGTCGAAGACCTGGTCTTTGCCAGTGCTGACACTGAGGCACTTACCCTTGTGAAGTCGGAGCTGCAGAAGAGACACACATGCACTGACCTGGGTGAACTGCGCAGCTATCTTGGCTTGCAGATCACCCGGGACAGAGCACGGCGCACCATCGCCCTGACTCAGTCACACATGGTGCACTAGGTTCTTCAGCGCTTCGGCTTCCAGTTCTCCTCGCCACAGCCCACTCCTCTGTCTACCGGCCACTCGCTCTCAGCTCCACCTTCGGACGAGTCCGTAGAGCTGAGTGGCCCGTACCCAGAGCTTATGGGTTGCCTCATGTACCTGATGACGTGCACACGACCTGACCTCGCGTACCCTCTCAGCCTCTTGGCTCGCTACGTGGCTCCCGGGAAGCACCGAAAGGTGCATTGGGATGCTGCAAAGAGGGTACTGCTTTACTTGTGCAGTACGTCGGGCATGGGGCTCGTGCTTGGTGTCAAACTTATATGCTATAGTCTGTTTAGGCTGTAGTGGGGAAGACACTATGGGGTACAGTTTCCTAGGGTTTCATATTTGTACCCAACTCATTTCCTAGTCAATCATTCATTCCTGTTTCTTCACATGGTATAGAGCGGGTTCCCTAGTGGGACCGTTTCTTCCTAAGGGCCCACCATTAAACTTTTTTTTTTCCTAACCTGCCCGAAGCGCCCTTCGCGCTCTGCCCTGCCCTAACCTGTCGCGGCCCCCCTTAGTGGCCTGCCCTGCTCTTGCGGCCCCTTCGCGGCCCCTACGCGACCCCTTCGTGGCCCCTTCGCGGCCCCTTAGCGGCCCCTTTCGCGGCCCCTTAGCGGCCCCTTCGCGGCCCCCCCTTCGCGACCCCGTCACGGCCTCGCCTCGGCCCTGCCCCGTCGCCCGTCGCGGCCCCGTCGCGGCCCCGCCCCGGCCCTGCCCCGTCGCCGGTCGCGGCCCTGCCCCGGCCCTGCCCCGTCGCCTGTCGCGGCCCCGTCGCGGCTCCGTCGCGGCCCCGCCCCGGCCCTGCCCCGTCGCCTGTCGCGGCCCCGTCACGGCCCCATCGCGGCCCTGCCCCGGCCCTGCCCCGTCGTCTGTCGCGGCCCCGTTGCCTGTCGCGGCCCCGTTGCCTGTCGCGGCCTCCCACCTGCAGCAGCTACTGGGGTGTGCCAGCAGCTGCCGCCGTCGCTGCCGCTGTCGCCGCCGTCCTGACCCTGCCGGCGCACCACGGCCCTGCCCCACCAGTCGCGGCCGCCTACCCAACCGCCCCTGGTAAGAGCACTGCCGAGCCGCCCCGCCCTGCCGAGCCGCGCTGCCCTGCCGAGCCGCGCTGCCCTGCCGAGCCGCGCCGCTTAGCCGAGTCGCACTACTGCTGCTGCTGCTAGCCTACTGCTCCTACGGTCATGGCTAGTCCCACTGTTCTTACCTTCGATGCTGAGGGTCGAGCGGTCGACTTTGAGGTCTGGATAGATGATCTGCAGCTTTTCCTATAGTGCGATAGCAGGGATGGTCTCTCACTGTTCGATCTCACGTCTGGCGCCTCTACTGCCCCTGCTGCTGATGCTGACAGTACTGTTCGCTCGCAGTTGACCACGCGCGATGCTGCTGCCCGCCTTGCTGTGCGTAGTCACCTACCGTCCACTGAGCGCGCGCACTTTAGTCAGTACAAGAGTGCTAAGACTCTGTACGACGCTGTAGTTGCACGCTACTCCTCCCCTGCCACTGCTGCCCTTAGCCGCCTCGTGCTGCCGTACCTGTTCCCTGACCTCGCCGCCTTTGCCACAGTCGCTGACCTCATTACGCACCTCCGCACTAGTGACACCCGCTACCGCGCTGCGCTTCCTGCTGAGTTCTGCGCCAAGAACCCCCCCCCCATGTACATCACCCTCTACTACCTAGTTACCCGACTCCTTGACACCCTTCGCTCCGTCAGGGACCACTTCCTCTCTCTTTGCCCCACCACACTCACCGTTGACCTCCTCGAGGAGCGCCTCCTTGCAGCTGAGACGAGTATTATCGATGTAGGAGCCTCTCGTGGTGACCCCCGTACCCCTTTCTTTGAGGGGTGCTCCCCCGTTCCCCTTTTGCCCTCCGTTGCCTCTGCTGCTGCTGTCGACCTCGTTGGCACCGAGTCGGTCAGCGCTGCGTCTGCTCCTAGCGGGAGGCGCCGCAACGGCAAGGGCAAGGGGGGCAAGGGCGCTGGAGGAGTTGGCGGGGGCGGCGGTGGTGGCGGTGGAGGCGGAGGAGGGGGTGGGGGTGGGGGTGGTGGCGGAGGTGGGGGTTTCGGTGGCGGCGGTGGAGGTGGAGGCGGCGGCGGCGGCGGTGGCGGTTGGGGTGGAGGCGGCGGAGGTGGAGCTGGTCGAGGCGGAGCTGTGCAGCGGGGACCCCAGCACCAGCCACGCTCTCGTGAGACCCCGTCACCCCAGCAGCTTCGTGAGTGGTACGCAGGGCGCCAGAGGTCTGGGGGTGCTGGTCCCTGTGCCTACGTCCTGCGCACCGGCGACCGCACTGGAGAGCAGTGTGGCGGCCTGCACGCCTCCCAGCGCTGCTTCGGCCGCCTGACAGACGCCTGGCGTACCCTGTTCCCTGACGCCACTGAGATCCCTCGCTGGGGTGATCTGCTCAAGTCGGGTGTAGCTATCTTTGATCTTGATTTTGATGCTATCCTTGCTGCCATGTATGTTGTGTCTATTAGTGTTGAGGGTGACTGTTACGTGTGTGTTCCGCCTGACCCGGGCATTGAGGCTGCTGCTCTAGGTGCTAGTGAGTCTGCTGCTCCAGGTGCTGGTGAGTCTGCTCTCTCAGGTACCGCGTCGGCTCAGGTTTTGCACACCTTCACCCTCGACTCGGGTGCTTCCCGCTCCTTCTTTCGAGACCGCACCACACTCACGCCGCTCAGTCGGCCGGTTGCAGTCTCCCTGGCAGACCCCTCTGGGGATCCTGTCCTTGCCCACTACTCCACTGTCCTACCGTGTCCGGCGGCCCCGTCAGGCTCCCTGTCCGGTCTCTACCTCCCCTCGTTCTCTACGAACTTGGTGAGTGGTGCTGACCTTCAGGATGGAGGGGTTGACCAGTTCACTCCTGCGAGTCAGCGAGTGACCCACTGCACGTGTGCTCGGACGGGCCGCCACTTGGCCACGTTTACCCGTCGGCCGGGGTCGAGCCTGTACACACTGACCACAGAGTCTCCTCCGGTTGCTGCGTCTGGTCGGGTAGCTGCGTCGGGTCAGGTGTTTGCTGCAGCGTCTCGGTCAGGTCCTGAGTCTGCCCCCTGCTCGTGTCGCCTCCTGTCCCACCAGACCCTCCTCTGGCACCACCGCCTTGGTCACCCCTCCTTGCCTCGTCTCCGAGGCATGGCCTCCCGTGTCCTTGTCTCTGGTCTCCCCCGGTCCCTCCCTCCCCTTCCCCCGGGGCCTGCCCCTACCTGCGTTCCCTGCGTCGAGGGGCGGCAGCGCGCCGCTCCTCACTCCTCCGAGTTTCCTCCGACTGAGGCTCCGCTGCAGACTCTCCACATGGACGTCTGGGGCCCAGCCCGCGTCCGTGGACAGGGTCACGAGCGTTACTTCCTACTGGTGGTTGACGACTTCTCGCGTTACACCTCAGTCTTCCCCTTGCGCCGCAAGGGTGAGGTCACTGAGGTGTTGATCGACTGGATCCGCGTTGCTCGTCTCCAGCTCAGAGAGCGTTTCGGCTCGGACTTTCCTGTTCTGCGTCTGCACTCCGACAGAGGTGGAGAGTTTTCCTCCGACCTTCTGCGAGCCTTCTGTCGTGCGGAGGGCATCCGCCAGACGTTCACGCTTCCGGCCTCTCCACAGCAAAATGGGATTGCTGAGCGCCGCATTGGCATGGTCATGGACGTCGCTCGTACGTCCATGATCCATGCGGCTGCTCCCCATTTTCTGTGGCCGTTCGCGGTTCAGTACGCGGCGCATCAGATCAACCTTCAGCCCCGGGTCTCCATGCCGGAGACCTCCCCTACTCTGCGGTGGACGGGGAAGGTTGGCGATGCGTCTGCGTTCCGTGTCTGGGGATCTCGAGCTTTCGTCCGTGACTTGTCTGCGGACAAGCTGTCCTCCCGTGCTGTTCCTTGCGTCTTCCTCGGCTTCCCCCCTGACGCGCCTGGTTGGCAGTTTTACCACCCCACCTCGCGCCGTGTTCTGTCCTCCCAGGACGTCACGTTTGACGAGTCGGTTCCGTACTACCGTCT